AGGATCTACTGGAAGCCACCAATCGGGGGAAAGTCCCCCAAACCAGCCAACCACTTGAACACTGACATTCTTCTCATATCTGCCAGTTTTCTGCACACGGCTGCGGACATTGCATTTAGTTCACACGTGTGTGGCCTAGTTCCCCTGCTGCTACTTTTCGACACATTTGCAACAGAGTCCAATCATCAGAGCTGACCGCAATGTATGTCTCCTGCAGGACAAACCACATCAGTGTTCCCTGAAACATTGGCCTACCCTCTTAAAGGAACCTCTTCTACCATTGCCATTAGTTACTGCAGCCCAGAGAGGAGTTGCCCTTTGACAACAAGTGCTTCTGCCAATTTCTGACACCTTCCTTGCCTAAAATTTGCTATTCCTTTAAGTGCCACTTAAAGGGATAGTACTTGACCTTACTTCCTCTTTTCTTTGTATTGATCCTTTTAGGGACTGTCACCTTCATATTTTCACACTAAAAGGTCTGGATCATTGTAGTGAACCAATTGGGCCCCAACGAGCATGCAGAAGATTCCTCACTGCATTTAAAGGGACATTGACTACTCTAGTTAAGAGCTCTTTCCTAGATCAAATTTAAACTTTGCCATCAGATCCTGAGGGCCCAAAGTGAGCTAGTTAAATCTTTGATAGTTTTCCTTGCTCACTGGGGTCTGGAAACACCTCAGGTTGGAAGTTTTGGATTAACTTCTGAACAGCAGGCCTGCTAACACTGATTGAGATTTTGCTGTATGTGTTGTTTCTTTGCTTAGAGTTGCTGAGTGTGATAATTGCCATTATATACACATATACCACTTTATGCTGTTTGACCAAGCTTACAGTCAAGTTTAATATAAACATCATATCAGTTCACTCTAATCTGTGTGCAAGTCTATTTTCTGGTGATAATTTACTTTGGTCAGAAGAGTACTGTGGTGTCAGCATGGGTTGGGCTTTCAGAGAGGTGTCCAGAATGACAGGGAGCCCAAAAATAACTCAATAACCCCTAAGGGGATACTGTCACAGACACATAGATAGATAGATAGATAGATAGATAGATAGATATAGATAGATAGATAGATAATGTTCCCAGTGTAACAAAGTTACAAAGTTATTTAAATGTGTATATTGTGGCAATTGAATAGGCACAAACATGACAGTTCTAGCAATGGTAGTACATATGTTGCAGACCATACAGAGAATGTAATGTTTATCAGCAAGGCAGTTTTCCAGCAGTGTTAAAATACACAGTAACAGATCGCAGGATGCCAGAGAAGCCCTTTCCTTAGAGGGATTGTTTTATTACTGCATCACACCTCGATCCTAAAATGTCTCTGTCCCTAAATCAAGTGAGGGATCTGTCCCTATCTTACTCGTACACTGTGGGCACACCCAGGGGCGGACTGACCATTTGGAAACTTGGGCATTGCCCGAGGGCCCGGGGTCAGTAGGGGGCCCTCTGAGATGCCCCTGGTACCTTTTTATAGGCTTTTTTGAGTTTGGGCAAGGACACAGGGGCCCCATGATCCCCTTATGCCCAGGGGCCCCATGAGTTGTCAGTCCGCCCCTGGGCACACCAAATCATGCAGACAAGACTTCTGTGTTAAGCTGGCCACGCTAATCTCAAAGGGATTTCAGCATCCTACTGGATATGCCATCCCCCCCAAGAGGACTGCCTGGAACCCATTGCAGGGGACAAATTAGTGCTCACTGGTCTCCTGCCAGCCTGAAAAAATGGCACAATGCCACCTTCAGGTTGACGGATATACTGCAGCCCAAAGCCTGTCTACACTCCCCCCTCTTATGGAATGTATAACAAGCAACCATACAAAGTATAAGAAACAACAAAAGACTAGTATGCATTGTAAAGAATATTAGTATAAAAACAGTGAATAAACAAAGAACAAACATTTCAAGCAATATAATCTTCACAGGCAAGAGTCCTTTAGTGGTCCGCCTGGCAGAAGAGACTCATCATCCACACACACACTGTCCACCCTGAAAATAAGGATCAGGATGCTGTTCATTTTTAATAGCATGGTCAGGGGCTCCTGGACAAAGACTCTACCGGAGGAAGGGGAAGAAGACACTATTCCCACAAGGCTTCAGTCACAGAGGGTATTTCTCCTGAACCCAGTTGATTGGTAACCTCTGAAGCCAGAAAACACTGAACAGAACAGGGTCAAAATTTGCTCCTCAGACACTGCATAGTACATTGGTTGCTCAAGGGAAAGCTGATGTTCATTCTGATATGAGCTTGACTACCATCTGACCTCTAGCTTACTACTCCTAGCATTATTCCTAAATTCCATGTTCCAATCTGCTAAATCTGGAGAAACTCCTGGCTGTTTCCCAGGGTGGTGCAGGGTGAGTGCTGTTGTTGCCCTGGAAACACAATTTGCTCATGGATTTAGAGACAGGGACTGCAACTGGTTCTTTTGTGGTCCTGCCACTGTTTTGCGCTATTTAGATACATGGCCATCATAATGTCATGATGCCTCCTGCTTGCATTCCAGAAAGATTCCAGCACTACAATTCTGACTCTGTTCCCACCAAGTGCTACAATACTGATTCAGTTTCAAAGAGGTGTCTTGCAGAAGATGAAGTACAGTTATGTTCAGTTCCTGTAGAACATGTATGCCTAAAACAACAGGGGCCTCTGGAAAGGCAGAGCTATGGGTCACCAATACTCCAACTTAAACAAATATTTGATTAAACACTTGAATTCTCTTCCAGGTGACCCCTACCACAGGGATGGGTAACTTATTGGCAGCTTCCAGCACTATCTGAGGAGAGTCCAAAGTCTTATACTGATCATACCGTTGTTGATAAAAGGCATAGCCCATAGTAGTAACTTCAGATACAGTATCTCTCACATGGTACACTGGCCTAGCATTCATAACTGCCATCATTACTGGACAAGAAACAGTTACCCTAGCTCCAAGTTGGGGACTGGATAATTACATCCTGTAGCGTCTTCCCTATCCTATGATTCGTTTGTTTAAGGGGTAAGCATTTTTGAAGAATGGCCTTCTCTTGCCTGCAATTCCAAATTAAATTACCAGGGCAGCCAGAACACCAACAGAGATGACCCATGTCATGGCTCCTCCATCTGGAAGTATTCCCATTCAACAACTGGATAATGTCTTGTTTAACAGCTGTCACTCCCTGCCTAATGGTAGTTATGGACTCATTCAGTCCTTTGATAGGCCCCTCTAATGAAGACAAGGGAGAAGATGCTGTCGTATGATCCATTGTCACAGATTTCCCAGTCCTTTAGGAAGCTCTTATCCATGATCTTTCATCCTCTTGATCTTGTTCAAAAACCAAAGGATGGTGGTGCATTTTACAGCAGTTTTGTTTTTCACTTGGTCCTTCAAGGCCCATTTTAGCTGCTTGTTCATGCCCTCAGACATAAATTGATCATGCACCACCTGATCGGGGTTGAGTATGTAGTGTAGCCAGTCCCATCTATATCTTACAGTCAGTTCCATAGCTCCTGTATGGCCACTGCATAATGAGGAATAATCTCCTCTTGCTGATTCTGGGCAAGGAATTTTTGGTGGCACTCTGCAAGGGAGGTAATGGCACCATAGAGAAGTTTCAAGTGAGCCACTATAGCTGTTGTGGTGGCTCTCTCTCCCTCAGGTAGGACTAAGACCAGGGGCAAACTGACAAGTCATGGGGCACCCGGGCAATAGGGGATCATGGGGCCCCTGTGTCCTTGCCCAAACTCAAAAACGCCTATGAAAAAGATACCAGGGGCATCTCATGGGGCCCCCTACTGACCCCGAGCCCGAGTTTCCTAATGGTCAGTCCGCCCCTGACTAAGACCACCTGATAGGCCCCACTTTCCAGGCCCCACCTTCCAGGAAACTGATAGCTAAATCAGGTGGATATGCTGGGTTTCTGGAACATACTGTATATTCAGAGCTCTCCAAATGTTCTGCACAGTCTCTCAGTGGAATATTTGTGCCATTAAATTTTGGGATTAACGCCAGTGAAGCTCCATGAGGAGCCATAGCCATCCCTCTTGACATACCTGCCACTGAAAATGATGGTTCCATCAACCTACTGACTATGGCAAGTGTAGGTGAGTCCCAATCAGTCTATCCAAAGATTGGGAGGAATCACCAGACAGAGTTCTTTAAATATTATATTGTAGAAGTTGAATGAGGCAAGGCAGTTATAGCAATTGTACTATATATGTTGCAGACCATACAGTTCATAAGGCAGAGCATGTAATATTTACCAGCAATGCAGTTTTCCAGCAGTGTTATAGTACATACTTACAGATCACAGGATGCCAGAGAAGCATTTCCCTTGGAGGGGTTGTAGTGTTATTGCATCACACTGTGATCCTCAAAAGTCCCTGTAGATATTCGGCTACCAGTGGGAGACTATTCTGAGATGCTGATGGAGAGGACACCCTGTAATGGAAAACCTATTTTTACTCTCCTCAAAAGGCACCACTCCCAAATGCTACTCCTACTTTTCCCCTACCAAGCGGGGGCTCTGTCTCTATCTTACCCCCACACTGAGGCACCCTGAATGATGCAAAATCCCCTATTTAAGGTTTTTTTTGTTAAGATGGCCATCTAAATATGCAGGATTTTGGTATTCAAAAAGATATGCCATCCTCCACAAGAAGTCTACCTGAAGCCCATAGCAGGGGAAAAATGATTCCTTGTGTCCTGCCAGCCTGAAAACTTGTGTCTTGCCAGCCTGAAGAAATGACACAGTGCCACCCTCAGGTCAGCGAATATATTGCAGCCCAACACCTGCCTACATAAAGATAGATTGATAGATACTGTAGATCGATCAATAATGACTTCTATCAGTGTCCAGCCGAGCACTGGTTAAAGCTTGTAAGAGGAGTTTTCATTCTGCACTAGAAGGATGCAGAGCCCCTGACCTCTGTCTGGACAGCACTGATTGGCCCTGTGCTGATCACATGCACTTTCCCAAGAAAAAAAAATATCTCTAGCAATACACACCAAATTGAGCACGTGCAGTTTTTTTCTTATCAGGTGATAAAAGACGGGTACTGGAAGAAGGGGGATCACAGACGTCAGGATCAAACAGCATTTTTACACAATAACCCCTTAGGTTCCACAGTGAGTATAACAAGCATGCTTTACTACATATACACACTGATTTCACCGTTTTGGGTATAGTGACACTTTAATGGAATGAAATGCCAACCAACTTGCCCCAGTCAGTTATGTAATACTGTATCTTCCATAGTACAATATTGATCTACTTTTAGTAGCCATTCTGTTACGGTTGGCATAGACAGTTGTTTCCAATATACAGTAATAAGACTTTTTGTTGCATTTAGAGAATATGGGATTGGAGACTTTTGATACACACCAAAAATCCCTTGTGCAATGGAATAGCAAGGTCCATTGGTCTCATTTCACAATACAATCTGTTATATCTCTAATTGTCTCTGATATATAGCTCCAGTATGTCTGGATCACAGAACATAACCACCAAATGTGGCTAATAGAACCAACTTGCCCACATCCCTTCCAACATTTGTGTAGCCCTCTTTTGGAGGACTGGAGGAGATAGTTATGAGAAATGGCCCTCCTCAAACATGATATTGCTCTAACACTGTAAGTAAATAAGAAAAACAGATCCTTCGTTAAGTGGAAGAGTGGGATTGGTAATAAAGTTGGCAGTGCCTGCACTCGGGACATGGCCTCTGAGAACAGAAAAGTTGGCAGTGCCTCCACTCAGGACAGAGCCTCAGAGAACAGAAAAGTTGGCAGTGCCTCCACTCGGGACAGGGCCTCAGAGAACAGAAAAGTTGGCAGTACCTCCACTCGGGACAGGGCCTCTGAGAACAGAAAAGTTGGCAGTGCCTCCACTCGGGACAGGGACTCTGAGAACAGAAAAGTTGGCAGTGCCTCCACTCGGGACAGGGCCTCAGAGAACAGAAAAGTTGGCAGTGCCTCCACTCCGGGACAGGGCCTCAGAGAACAGAAAAGTTGGCAGTGCCTCCGCTCGGGACAGGGCCTCAGATAACAGAAAAGTTGGCAGTGCCTCCACTCCGGGACAGGGCCTCAGAGAACAGAAAAGTTGGCAGTGCCTCCACTCGGGACAGGGCCTCAGAGAACAGAAAAGTTGGCAGTGCCTCCACTCCGGGACAGGGCCTCAGAGAACAGAAAAGTTGGCAGTGCCTCCACTCGGGACAGGGCCTCAGAGAACAGAAAAGTTGGCAGAGCCTCCACTCCAGGACAGGGCCTCAGAGAACAGAAAAGTTGGCAGTGCCTCCACTCGGGACAGGGCCTCAGAGAACAGAAAAGTTGGCAGTGCCTCCACTCGGGACAGGGCCTCAGAGAACAGAAAAGTTGGCAGTACCTCCACTCGGGACAGGGCCTCTGAGAACAGAAAAGTTGGCAGTGCCTCCACTCGGGACAGGGACTCTGAGAACAGAAAAGTTGGCAGTGCCTCCACTCGGGACAGGGCCTCAGAGAACAGAAAAGTTGGCAGTGCCTCCACTCCGGGACAGGGCCTCAGAGAACAGAAAAGTTGGCAGTGCCTCCGCTTGGGACAGGGCCTCAGATAACAGAAAAGTTGGCAGTGCCTCCACTCCGGGACAGGGCCTCAGAGAACAGAAAAGTTGGCAGTGCCTCCACTCGGGACAGGGCCTCAGAGAACAGAAAAGTTGGCAGTGCCTCCACTCGGGACAGGGCCTCAGAGAACAGAAAAGTTGGCAGTGCCTCCACTCGGGACAGGGCCTCAGAGAACAGAAAAGTTGGCAGAGCCTCCACTCCAGGACAGGGCCTCAGAGAACAGAAAAGTTGGCAGTGCCTCCACTCGGGACAGGGCCTCAGAGAACAGAAAAGTTGGCAGTGCCTCCACTCGGGACAGGGCCTCAGAGAACAGAAAAGTTGGCAGTGCCTCCACTCGGGACAGGGCCTCAGAGAACAGAAAAGTTGGCAGTGCCTCCACTCGGGACAGGGCCTCAGAGAACAGAAAAGTTGGCAGTACCTCCACTCGGGAAGGGCCTCAGAGAACAGAAAAGTTGGCAGTGCCTCCACTCGGGACAGGGCCTCTGAGAATTTCCTTTCCTGGAAATCTAATTAAAGTAATTGAAAGCAGAAGAACTATTGCAACCAGCATATAACATTAATCATGCGCATATACCTGCACACCAATATAGAAATACAGTAATACAAGCTTTAGCTAAGAAATAATAACAGTACATACATTCAATGTACAAACAGATGTTATCAGCAAGGGATTCCTGGTGGAGTTGTACACAGTATATAGATACCTTCAAATGAATGTTGCAGTAAAATTCCATTAAAGGGACCCATGAGGATGATGCAGCGTCTGTCTTTGCACTGAAGACCTGAAGACAAGATCTGCAGTGATAAGGAGACCCTCCATCCATTATCCAGCCAGCCTGGAATGCAGTCCTAGTTATCTGGCACCTTGCATGTGAGATAGCAAGAGATCAGAGATACTAATGGGACAGAGATAGTCTGTATGTCATGAGAATTCTGCTGTACACTCAAGAAGCTATGGGTAGCTGCAGTTAAACTATTAGAACATAGAAATATTTGCATAATTGGCTCTTCTGATCTGGTATTAGTAGCATGGACAGGACATGTGGCTCAGACCTTCTCTCTCTCCACTTCCTCCTTCCAGGATCTTTTCCCAACAACCCCCGAGTCAGGAAGTGTCATACATAATCTTACATTACAGTGTGATACTAGCGGCTGACAGTAGAGGGCAGCGGATCCCTACATGTGTTTGGAAGATGTGGCCAAACTTGGTGTCTACACAAAGGTACCCTGTACTAGTGTGTCAATACCTAGGGTTAGCTTTAGGTTTTAAGTAAGTTTTTTCAATCTTAGATTTACATGATTAATATGTTTATAAGGTCTATCGGTACACTTTAAGGTGTTAAGGAAACACCCACCATCATCTATCAATGATTGAATTATCAGTTCTGGATGGATGACTCTTTATATTGTATTTAGTGTGTTTCCAACCGCTCATTTTCAAATCCAGTTCTTGTCAAGTAAACTACTTTTCTACTTTGAATAGTTTTACACAAATCTAGGATGATGTAATATTTTTTAATTTGAACCTTAACAGGTGAAAAAAAAAATAATTAGCTAAATCACGAGCAGGGGCGGACTGACCATTTGAGCACTCAGGCACTGCCTGAGGGCCCGGGGTCAGTAGGGTGCCCCATGAAACGCCCCTTGTACCTTTTTATAGGCATTTTTGGATGTGCTTTGAGTGTGGGCGAGGACACAGGGGCCCCATGATCCCCTATTGCCTGGGGGCCCCATGAGTTGTCAGTCTGCCCCTGATCACGAGTAATTTAAGAACTAATCTACAATCAGTGTCAGCATAAAGAAGGCAAAAGAGTGATGAAAAACTGATACTTGTCTCATAAAGGTACACGTGATAGAATATGTATCTTATCTTCAAGTAATTTCTGCTTCCTGTTGAGTAATCCCATTTGTAAGATGCATTTTTTGAGCCTTGCTAAAGGAGCTATTTAAAATGACATAAATATTTTAGAAACAAACAACTTTTACAAGGATTTTGTACTGTGATTTCCCAGCTGTTTATAAGATAAATTGTCGGTGTGACAAGTGGGAGTAATAGAGGAAACGCTGTGATGACAAAAGGAAATATCTACTGGGAAATGTCATAACATTTTGTATCGATCCAGTATAAATCTTGCAGGGGAAATACCCAGAATGATGACATCATCTCTTAAAGGCCCAGTACTTGAAGTGTATGTGAACCCTCACCTTGTAAAACAACCCATTCAATTTAAATAATAAATGAAAGGCAAAACAATTGTATATACTTATAAAACACATTATAAATACGTTTTTGTCCCTTTTTTATAAGTGATCACATACCCTATGTTCTCACCTGCATAATGATCTGGGGGAGGAGAAACAGCAGCACCCTGGTCTTCCCAGTAAATGGCTGTGCTGGGGGAGGTGGGGGTGCCATGCACGCATAAGTCTGATCATTGGATTAGCTCCCAGCACAGCCAGAAAACTGACCATGCTGTGTTCTCATGCCTCAAGTGGTCAGTGTTTAATAGGGACTGGCAGGAACAACAAGGATTTCACACAAAGGAAGCAATACAAAGAGAACAGGATACTTTTTCATACAAGTACATGGTACAGCAGACACATATCAGGAATATGAAATGTTGGGTTTACATACTCGTTAAAGTCTTTCTCTGTGGAAACGAACCCCCCTCCAATTATTTCTTCTACCTCCCACCCATTCACCACTTTTGGGGGGGGACTGATGATCCAGTGCTGGAATATGTGCCCACCTGACCTTCTTGTCATGACATCATTACAATAAAAGGATCTGAGAGAACACACCACTAGATAGCAAAAAAAAAGTGTCCATATCATCCAGGCAGCAATGGTGGCACCAGAAGAAGAAGCCTCCCACTTTGCAGTAAGAAAAAAATAGTAGACTTGGGACCTGGTTCATCACATGACCACAGATTTAGGCAAATAAAAGGAGCTTTTAGATGAGTATTTTTTGCAATTATTTGGCATGACAAGTGGAGCTTGGGCTTTATGCCTAATGATCCTTTTTATCAGCAAAATCCTCTAAAATATGTTTGTTCCAAATGAGTATTATGAAGGTTTAAGGGAAACCTGTAACTCATAATAATCCACTCAAAGCCATCCTCTGTGCTTTCTGTTCATTCTTTATGTTCTCAGTTACATTTAAAATGAACTTTTGTCCTCAAATGTTATTATGCTTCATATTCTACTGGCTATCTGTGGTGAGCTGTAACCAGGGTACCCAGTGATGTCATATAGTCAATAAGATGGAAGAGAGACTCATATCTGTCACATTCAAAGTAAAGCTTGCCACCCAACAGCAATCGGCCAAAAATCAAGCCATGGGTGGCCATGTCAACACCACCCGATTCAACAAATTTCCAATTAAAAAAAATCGAAGGAGCTTGTGCAAAAATTGATGGCCAAACAGTGATTGCATCCAGTTGGATGAAATTACTGTTCGAGTATTTAGACAGTCGCAGGTGTTGGCTGACCGTGTATGTACCTAATAGGGATGGGCCTGATGTTTGAGTCGAACGTAGGAACACACGCTGTTCACCCGCCGCACTCCAAAATGCACTGCACTCTCACTCTGC